CATTATTATATATTATATTATATTATATTATATTATATTATATTATATTATATTATATTATATTATATTATATTATATGGATATAATACACTGGCCTGCATTACCCTCAGCCTGCACTTGAATGTAATCCTGTTAGGGTACAAGTGATTGTAGCCCCCTTTCTGTATCACCTGCTGCTCACTGCTTGAGCATTTCAGTTGTGTTTAACTGAAAAACGAAGTATTGGGCCCAGTCCTATTGTGGATTTACAGTGACATAAGTATAATATATAAATCACAGTGGCAAATTGCCATGAATGAATTACTGATTACGTTTCTAGTTGTGCAGAAGTCACACACACAGCAGGCGCACAACTAGGAGTGTGAGCAACAGCTTGTCAATTAGAGGCAGTTTGTCACTTCTGTTAATGCAATTACTGTACATGAATGCAGATGTAAATCCGCAATAGGATTCTGGCCACTATGCACCAGTGTAGGTACAGAGGCAGTAAGAGGGGGAACCTGGTGAAGTTGACTTGGGGATTCTGGGAGCTGTAGTCCAAAAACAGTAACCTTTTCCGATTTGTGCTTAATTCTCCCTCTCCCCATTGGAATGTGGCAGCCGCCCGGGACCCATCGGCCAAAGCTATTGGAGACAGCTGCCCTGGTTCCACAGTGAATTCCTCTGTGTATGTAGTTCCATTCCCAAGTGCCGGTATTCCTCCTATCTCAGACAGAACCAGGCTCAAAACAGATAACTCATTAGTGTGAGAAGCAGCTGCAGTTCAGTAAAATAGTAGTGATGGCTTTATGACTAGGGCCTGCATATCTGAAGCTAAAGGACACCAGTGGCAGGCTCCCTGGATGACTACTAGCAATGGGAGCTCTTTCCAGGCAGAGTTTCTCTGTGTCGCTGATATGCATCCCAAACCTTTGATGTCTCCTCACGCCTTGAATTTGGGCAAGGATTATAATCTAAATGGTGGCTACTATTGCCAGTCCCCACCATCACCACCAAGGATGGATTATGAATTACCTTGCAATTCGGGCATTGAATTGTGCTGCCTCCTTCCTTCCTTCTGGTGCAAGAGAGACAGTGGATCTTTCAGTGCCTCCCCCAAAGTGAGAGGAGGCTCCGGCAGTGGCTCAGGAGAAAGGCTTCTGTCTTAACTGTCTCTGCAAAGAAGCAGAAGGAGGTTCCAAAGGAGCAAGATGGAGCGGCTCGTGTGTCTTGTCTGCCTGACTTGTGTTGGCCCTGGCATAGGCGGCCACTGCAGCTTTCTGTGTTTGTTTGGGTGTGAAAGGAGTGCTTTAAAGAAAGGAAGAGGAACTATAAACCAGCTGCTCGGTGGAGCAGCTCAACTGTGACCCTGCACTGTGGCCTGACAGGTAAGCACTGCCCACCAGCGCCACTGCCTTTCCTCGCCGTGAGTTTTCCTAGAAATGATGGGAGAGAATGACAAAGGAAATGATGATTCTCACTCAGAACTGGGAAAAAAAAGTTTAATGTCAATCTCCAGACATTAAAGAGTTGCTTCTAATGGAAGTAGACTGAGGCACTTTTTTGGGATAGAATGAATGCAGTGGAGTTTTTAGAAATAAAATAAATTTGTCTCCTTTGGATGAAATGCAAGGCAGGTAGGACGTGTCAGCTGCTATTGCAAAGTTATTCAAGAGCTCTTGCACAGAGATGGGCGTAAACTAGAGAGAGGGGTATTCATAGACGAATATCCCTGCACAGGTGGCGTTAATGAGGTTCCAGCCCCATGGGGTTGGGCGGTCCACTCGCCGATCTACCATGGACGCAGTGATTCTATGAACGGCGCAGGAGAGCGTGATCTGCTCACTACTCCTGGCAGGAGGCAGAAGGACAAGTCTCGCTGCAAAGTTGAAGACTGGCGAGCAGATCACACGCTGTGGCATCATTCATAGAACGGCACCGTCCGCGGCGGATGTGTGAGTGGATCTTCTGGCCCTATGGGGCTGGACCCTCGTTAACACCACCTGTGTGGGGATATTTGTATACGAATACCCCCATCTCTAGCTTAAACCAGAAAACCGGCTCATGACTAACCACGAGATACCCCAACCCCCTGGAAAAATGAACCAGTTTGTGGTTTGTGCCAGGAGGCCCCTACCTGATTCTGGCCTCTGCTACCCTCCCACTCCCTTCCTACTGTTCTGGTTGCCTCCCTACCTGCTCCTCCCACTACAGCCCCCATCCTCAGAGGCAGCTGGCCCGGCTTCCCTGCCAGGAGCCAGGCCTGCTGCCTCTGAGCATGCACCCATTGCCCAGCTGATAGGCAGGCGCATGCACCGATGCACCTGGCTCCTGGCCGGGAAGCTGGTCCCACTGCTTCTGAGGATGGCAGTGGAGGAGGAGGCGGCAGGATCAGGTAAGGGAAGTGACGGGAGCCATCGGAAAGAGGCAGGTGGGCATCCTCTTGGGCTGATCGAAGCAAAGTGGGTTTGTTTGCCTTGGCAAAATGGGATCCCTGAACCAAACCTTGAACTGAGCCCAGTTCATCTGTTCTTCTGGTCCACAGTTTGGTTCGTGCCCATCTCTACTCTTGCAAAAGGTCTGGTTTGTAAAGGCATACGTGCTTCCCTCTGGTCATCTGCTCTTAGAGTCTGCATGGGAGAATATCTTCAGGGATGATTAATGCAGCTTCAATGTATTCCATTACAGGAAAAGTTCTGTCTTTATAAGAATGATACCAGGTCATAGAAGTACAGCTATTTTGTCATGTTACACTGATGTTTGTATCCTGCAGCTTTAAGCAAGACGTGCACACAAACCCATGTTTTGCTTTGAAAACATGGTTGTACTATTAATTCTGGACTTGAATGGAGTCCAGGATTCCAGAGCAAATGCTACAGAGTTTCATTCTTTTGTAAACAACCAGTGTGACAAATAATATAACATTTAAAAATCCAATCTGGCTTGCATTTCTTTTCCCCTTTCCAATGATCATGGAAAAGCTCCTTTTTCACCACCAGTTTCTGTGTCAAAATTTTAGGGATGTGATGTCAGTTTTGTACCAGGAGCATCTTCCAGATGGAGCAGATGTGTTTCTTCCAGCGCCTCC